ACCTTCCGCCACCATGAGATTGGATTCGCCTCGAGGTTCGATGATAAGTTGTATACATTCATGACCATTCTCCTCCAGGAACAGCAGACGTTTCTCTGGCAGGTGTCTCGCGTCTTCGACCAGCTTGACCGCGTCACACAGGACCCCGCCGCGCATCGACGCGTCTCGCCGCTCATCGCGAGTCTGCTCTCGCAGTGGGGTGTCGTGAACGACTGCAAGTCCATCCTCGAGTGGCATCGCCCCGCGGTCGAGCGCACGGAGGAGCTCCACGACGGCGTGAAGCAGCGGCTGCAGAAGTGGATCCCGTTACTCGAACCCGTCCTGCCGGGGCTCCGCCCGGATCCTCAGCTGTCAGCGAGGGCGTTCCCTGTGTCGAGCTTTATCTATCCAAAGGGGCCTCGCAATTCCGCATGGGCAGGCAAGTGCACGGACGTGGACAAGGTGTTCGCCGCATTCTGGAAGACCGCCGATCGAGTGCTACTTGAGAAATTCGGACGGGAGGTCGTTGCGCTAGGTACGCGGCTTGTCGAGCCGTTTGCTATTGCGCCGACCGATTGGGCGGCCATCGGTAGGTCTTGATTCTGCGCCTCTTCAAAGCCTCAACATTTGACTGAATCAATGTAGCCGCGCCCAAGGTCACAGTCCGGCCAAAGCCAGCCCCCGAGGCTCTCATTCCATTCGGTGGCGCAGAGCAGATCTCTGCGGTCAAGGAAGAGGTTGCAACTGCCGCGAAACGTAAAGCAAAGACGCGCGGCGTACCTATGACCGCTGCAGAAGAGCCGCAGAGCCAACAAATTCGCGAACAGCCTACTGTTCCCCCCACGACTGCCGTTTCGGCGAAAGCATACAAAGTGCTATCGACTTTGTTCAACGCGGCCAAGGAGTGGGTGTTTCGAGCAGCTTAACGTTTTTGACTGACCCCGTCGCAGCGAGGAAGTGGCTCTCCAACAAAGCTCTGTAGCGTGGAAGGACGCACGTACCATTCACTTTCTTCAATCAATCACACCGTCTGATTTTATGCTCAGATCCAAGCGACGTTTGTTCACCTTGGCTTTGAGCTGCACAAGACCCGCGGGTCTGCGTGGACGTTCGAACACTCGGACGGGCCGAAGAGTGTGACTGGTGGGTGCTGCATGCTTCATGGGTATCGTTGTTTAGTTGCTTACGTAGGGATGCACACAGTTCACGAACCGCACCCCGAGTCGACGATGAGATTCTGGGACGTTCGTCGGTTTGGCCGGCGGCTGACGAAAAGGTTTGGATGGACGCTGGAGTCGTTCGTCCCGGATTTGGCTCCCCAACAGGTGGTAAATTTTCCATGCTTGACCTCAGGATACAAGCCAAAGATCCCCCGGGATGTGCGGCTTTCTGGTCGTCTTTAACACAGAAGTAACAACTTGCGTAACATTACGTCGTCAACACCATGCTGGAGCGCACGAGGCATCGCGCTTGCCCCTTCCCCAAAAGCTCCTCTAAAACTTCCTGTATCTCAGTACTACCTACACATAGGCTAGGTTACTAGCAGAACGATGCGTACTCGGGACCTGGATGTCAGCATCCCTGAGGACGACAGCAGCAGCATCTGCATCCTCTATTTCGCTCCGTCGACGAGCTCAAAAACTCCTACGCCGACTCGCCCACGACGCGGGGTTGCCTATCTGAGAGAAATAGAGAGATGAGTGAGCGGCCGACTTCGTATCAAACCAGGGTTACAAACTTCCAGTACCCCAAAGGAGGCATACGACGTTATTATGGTGGAGTACAGGAGCGAAAGCGACGAGAGTATTGAATGACGATCCCGGGGATGAAGAGAGTTCTTGGATTCGTACGACAAAAAGTAATATGGCCGCGCCTGTCCTAGGTGAAAAGATGATGAGGCGCCTTCATGATGATCCGCATCTCCTCCAGGTGACTGCTGAGGCCAGGATCACCCTCCCGTGCCTCAATACGCAGAGGCCGCTCCAGCGGCGGAATTCTTTCGGTCCATACGGGGGGTGTCTCCAAAACCTTCGGCTGCGCACTGCGCAACGCATCAAAGTCCATTATGGCCGGGGCATCGCGATGTAAGCCCCTAAGGATCCGGTTATTGAAGGAGGCACACAAGGTGCGTGTGAGTGCTGCAAGAAAGGCCACCCGCTCCGGGTCGATATCGCAGGGATCCGGCAGCGATGCAATGGGCCACGGGCGGTGGCAGAAATACTCGATTTCGTTACGAAACCGGATATTGTCGTGTAGTACTGCGAATTCACCGGCCGTGTAATCCTACCTACCTACATATATGCGGTAGAAACATGCCGCCGGGGTATCGTAGCCGGATAGGGTGAAAAGGTATGCCATCAGCGAAGGCGGACGCCGGGAGACTTTCCACTGCCTCTGTGCTCTAAGGGGATACTTCGCCAGTACCCGAGCTCTGTTGGGCCCAAGCGCACGAATGGTCGGAGGAAGAGGTTCGGGCGTGTTCTGGTATGGGTCCATAATCCAGCGAAGGATAGCCACAAGAAAACTTGGCGCCAAGAAAGGCGGTGAGGAGAAGACCAAGGTGACGTGTCGGAAACTGCCGGCTCGGCCAAAGCGGCATCGTAACATGGGGTAAACCGGATAAATTATGCGTCAATTTAACCGCTCAATTTATTATTTAACCGAATTTTGTGCGGCGCCGGAGCAAACCAGTGCAGGACGTGGCACGGCAATGTTGACTTTCATCTCAATAGTCAGAATCCAGAATTTGTATAAGAGGGACCCTCATCATTCGCTAACCCATTCAATTTCTTCATTGCTTTGAAAATTACCACTCAGTTCGTACTTCCATGCACGCCTCTCCGAAATTCGAACCTCTTCGCGATGTCCCAGATCTCTCCGGCAAGGTTCGTCTTCCTGTTCTTGATGCGTGGTATCGAGGACTAATAATCGCGCAGATAGCTCTCGTGACCGGGGGCAATTCAGGGATTGGGTACGAGACCGTCAAGGTCCTGCTCTTAAAAAATGCGAAAGTGTACCTGGCGGCGCGCTCGCCTACGAAGGGCAAGGAGGCCATCGCTGAACTCGAGACTGAGACCAAGAAGCACGCTGAGTTCCTGGAGCTCGATCTCGCGGATTTGAGAAGTGTACGAAAGGCCGCTGAGACGTTCTTGGCAAAAGAGGAGAGGTTGGATATTTTGTTCAACAACGGGTACGTCACTCCGACTTTGTGGTATACCTGGCATGAGCGGGGCTAATTGTGGCTTATTGTAGGGGGGTGATGATACCGCCAACAGACCAGCTCACGGCGCAGGGGTACGACTTGCGTATGCCAAATCTCGATTCCTTACACTCTGCATGCATGCTGAGTCCCATGTCAACAGAATTCGGGACCAATGCCCTGGGACATTTCTTCCTCACCGAACTTCTTGTTCGTCGCTCTTTTCAATTTTGACCCGACTTCCCATAACTAAATTGCGCTCCAGCTTCCCGCCTTCACGGCTGCACATGCGCACTCGTCCGCCCCCGCGCGCATTATCAACACAACTTCGACTGGACACACACGAGCGCCGGCCCGGGAAGTAGTTTTCGACGCGGTCAAGGGCGGCCCCCAACGCGACGCGCTCATCAAGAAATGGGCACGAGTGACTGCGCCTTGGTGAGGCCAATGCCTAAAACACACCCGAATAAATTATCTGATGCTTCCTAGGAACCTCTACGGCGCAAGTAAGCTCGGCAACATCATCATGTCTGACTACTACACGGAAAACTACCCCGGCGTGCTCGTGTCGTGCTCGTTGCACCCCGGACTGATCAAGTCGGGTATCCAACGGTATGTCCCCTCTTCCTGCCGCCGAACTAAATAGCCGATTTAATCCTCCAGCAACGGCAATGGGATCTTCAAGTTCCTCAGTGGTCTTGCCTTCTCCCCCACACACGTCGGCGCGTACACGCAACTATGGGCCGGAACGACCGCCTCTGCGGAAGAGATCAACGGCAAGGTTCGAACCATTTCTCGTCCTTTGCTTCACTGTCCACAAAATGACTGACCTGGAATCATTACACAGTACTTCCTCCCTGTGGGCATCGCGACAGCACCAGGGGGACGGACGGGCGATAAACAGCTGGCGACAGAAGTGATGGCGTATATGAAGGATGCGGTGAAGGATTTCTGATTTTATCTCATTGTGCACACACTGGACTTGGGTATTTGTCTGTAATCCCCATTGACTTCGCAGAAAAAGCTATGGACATGCCAAGTTGTATATCAATCTCGAATCCAAGTCAAGACCGACTTGAATGCTATCAATTCGAACTTTTTGAATTCCTTCTGCCACTTTGTGTTCACACCTATGTAACGCATTTCAGGGCTTTACAGCCGGGGCATATCTTTTTCTCCCTGTTCAAATTGAACCGGCGAACATGGTCTTGCAAGGCTGACATACCGTCGTTCCCCGCAACAGAGCCGATTCCAGCAAGCCACAAACACGAGAAACAGGATCGCCACTGTGGAGGTTGCGACCCCACCAGTAAGTCCTGGTCGAGTTCTCGCAGACTCTAGCAGTGCATCGTACTAGCTCGGGTCAGTCGCAACGGCAAAGTCCATTGGAGAAGCGAAGGATCGTGACACTAACATTGAACAGAGGCATGAACACTGAATAGGAAATCGGCGTGGTCGAATGGGGGAGGATGTCAGCGGGGGAAATGAGATGGCTGGTATTCAAAGCTGTTACTGGCTTTTAAGCGCTACTGTGGTTCATAATACAGCCTTGAAGGCGCCCAGATGGCGTGATAATGGTGCGAGGCGTTTGAACTTTAAATCCAGCACAGCATGAATTATTCTATCGAGTCTGATTTTTGTCACACTGACTGACCGTCGGCGAAGTGTTCCTTTCAGTACAAGGGGTGGTAACTGCATCATAACGCGATGAACTGGCGCTTCTACAGTGCAGCAGCGATGAGAATTTAAAACACAAAACGGTACTCGCATGCACAGCTGATTATGGAGAGACAGATTTAGAGATGCATAGGAGGGAAAAAATTGACCCTTGCCCGGATTGAACGGACGGCCTTTGCGATGCAGAACAACGGTCAAAACAACTGGAATGCAACGCTCTACCACTGAGCTAAAGGGTCGCCTGGCCCCGGGTCAGGCTCGATAACCCCGTCTGCTACGGTTGGCGGTGGAATTTTCTTTGTGGAATTTAGACTTTCGAGCCTTGAATGTTCCGGGATTCATCGATTCATCCATAGCTGGAAAGGCACGGGGAAGGAACCAGACCACACAGCCTAAACCAAGCCTGAACATGGCCAGCATCAAGTGAATTAAGTATAAGTATTATCGGTTTAATGCCGAGAACTAGTATTTTCTATTGCCGAGCTCTTTCAAGTCGCGTTCCGCGACTCGAGTCCAACGATCTTGCAGCAGGCGCCACGCATTTCCGTCTACGAAGTCGATATGTAAGAATGATTGAGAATAAAGGCAAAGGAACACCTACGAAAACAGCATTCTCTTAGCGTGGGGCAGTTGCGGCCCCAGTGCTCAACCGTGAGCCGGTCGGCCGCGTACGACTCCCCATCCTCTAGAACGAGGGCCGGATCGCGCACCGGGTCCAGTAAAGCGAGGAATTCAAGTGTGAGGTACCGCAGCTGTGTGAACTGGAGGAGTTGGTGCGACACCGCATCGATGTACTCCTAGGGCGCGCATCGTTTAAATGTTGGGCTCTTGAAGTAGCACGCGACGCACCGGGTCGAGACGGCCAGTCTGGTTTGCAACGGAGCGCAGTTGCACGCACTCCGCGTGAGGTAGATGTCGCGCCAGAGACGCAACAATGGCGGCGGTGGGGTCGCGGATGTACAAACTGCTGAATGTAAGCTGCGCGCCGTTAGACGTGAGGAGCGCAAGCTTTGATAACGCGGCATCAATCGCAGGGTTCTCCGCCGTCCACAAAAGGAGGATTTGTTTATCCCCTGTGGAAAAAAGTCGATGAACGTCGTCGGTAGTATTTGAGCTTGGGAAGGGGCAAGGGTGGCGTCAGCAGGTCCGTTCTTGGGGTATCTAGGCCGCCGATTATTAGCCGCGAGATATGAGGGTGCCGTCCGAGAAAGTTGTCGATTAAGGGACGCGTCGAGATTGGGGCGATGTATCTGAAGTCGACGAGGCGAGGGAAGGTGCAGTGCCGCAAGATACCCATGTAACGATCATCCGATGGCGAAACCTCGAACTCAAGAATTTCAAGACGACCCATGGTGTCGAGAACACTATATCACTGCGGTCCTGGTGGTTCCTCTGGGGGGGGGGGGGGGGGGGGGGGATTTATTATACTCGCGTGGTCCAAATGACTGAACAACGAGTTTACCGAAAACATACAAGCAGCAACGTACGGGTGTTTATCCTTACATTAACTACAGGATGTCAACGGAGCACACACCATTCCAGGGGGTCGGGCATACAAAACACTAGTTGGAAACTGGCCGACCTTTCGATAGGCAGGACCTCCGGTTGTAACCTCGTGGGCGCCCGACCACGAGTGTTCGTGGTGCACAAATGTGCGGGAGAAGGGGCCCTCCTCCCCAGACGGTGATAATGTCCCTGGTATCCACCAGTTCCAGTAGCATTGCCTCTGCAGTATGCTTGAATTAATTTGGCTGGAATGCGACGAAGAAGGCACTTACGGATCCCCTAAAGTGTCGCATAACGAGAGAATTCGGACAGAGTTGGCTCTCTCTGCATGTAGCGACAGAGAGGCCGAAAATTTCAGCAGTTGCGTAAAATTTAAGCGAAAGCTTGGTCGCTGGCGGTGAGAACGCCATTATTTCGGACAAGAGTTCGTTAGGAAGCCATCTGACAATGCATCGCGCGCTGCGGGTTAGGACCATGGCGCGGCGCGTTTGTGGCGTGTCTGATGTGGTGGTGGAGAAAGGTCGTGTGACCGCGTGACGTTTTGCTTGCCAAAGACGTTGGCAAATAACATCAGCTCCTGACCAACAACAACGACATGAATCTTTCGGCTCTGCTCTCTCCCTCAGCGTCGCTCGTCCATTGTCTTCGAATCGTGAGCTTTCCCTGCAGGTGATCCAATCGCCGTCAAAAGCTCTGCGATTCCCCTTGAACGACGGAAGATATGGACACTGCTTAGCACTGCACACTTGCTGCATCAGCAAACACTGTTTTGCCTGGTAGATTTGGGTCTATGCTACCAGGCGCTACCAGGCTCCCGTATCAGGGGACTTGGCCCCTGGTCTACCACAGCTACCAGGTCTGCGGGGCGCTACTCGGCCTTGGCATTTTATCCTGATGTGCACACATCACATTCGCGTTGCATTCGAATTCGCGAGGTTGCAGACTTCTGGGATGCCTTATACTAGTAGCAAAACAGACTGGATTCTTCACGGCGCGCACTCGTGTATCCTCGTCTTGAATCACTAGCATGCTCATTCTTGCTGGCATTGTGCGTTACTCAAAGGTCGCTGCTACTTTTACTTTGGGTTGGCTGGCGCTACTGCTTGGCCGAGGACTGGGCCATATCGACCTTCACTGGTGTCGAGGCTACCTCTGCCGACTTGCGGTGATTTACTTCTGTGCTTCACTTTTGGCAAACAATTTATTCTTTGTCCTCAAAAAATGCTTCACTTCCTTAGCCGCCAGGAAGTGGCGGCATCTCTTGTCTTTACGGAAAATTGTCAAGCTCTGGGAGGTTTCTGGACGCTTCATTTCAACAGACAGCAAACTATTCATATCTGTCCAATAACGATGCTCAGGCTGTGCGAGTCGGTGCTGCTGTTGAGCGCGTGTTCGCTGGCACTTCCGAGCCGTTGTCAGCTCCAGTTATGGATATTTTGGGATGCAATTGTCCTTCCTGCAAAATCAACTGCGCGTTCTTCTCTCGCTCTAGAAACTCGACGAGGACAAGATAAAGAATTAAGAGGGACAAGATCCATAAAGACGAGGTACTGTCAGGAATCATGATCACACGACCTCGGGACAGGCTCTGACGGTCTTCTGTTATCCAGCCAACAGCTTGGCTGTGCACTGTGGCGTGGCGGACTCAGATTTGGTGAAATGCTGTGGGATCCGGTGGTCCAAATATCACGTACTTCGGGACGCTATTCCGAGATTTCCGCCTTGATGAATAGTCTACCTGTCATGTCTCGCTCATCCCTCTCTTGTCCGTCACATCGATGGACTCTAAACTCAGCCAGGATGCTCTTCTAATGACGCCGTGCGTCTTGTCTGCATTTCATGAAGCGAACTCTCACCATGGCATCGATTCAGGCGCTCAACCCAGGATTTCTTCCCGAATGCGCACCATTTTGTGGTCAGCGGCGGCCAGTTCACAAGCAACGTGACACAAGTGCACAACAAAGATGCTCCTTCGCCTTCCGGTGGCGCCTCGTTCTACGTTTGTATGCGTACAACGTTCATGGTCACTATTCGACAGGGTTTCGTACGATCCCACTGGGGGACCTCGAGCTGTTAGACGAGATACAGCTGACTGACGACTCTAGCCTCGTCAATCGGCACAAATCTGTCACTCGCCTCCTGATCGGGCCGCTGAGCAGGCGAAACTACTCCGCTCGAGTAAATGGCCGCCACTCGGATATGACTGTTGCTGTATACCAGGGGCAGAACGCCGAAGAAGTACTGGAGCTGTCTATCTCTTTCCTTTACTTTGCTAATCCTGTTTGCAGGAATGGCGGCAAGATGTCACCAAATATTCAGGCGTACGGTGAGTGGAAGAAGTTCAACTTGAGACTGTTCCGATAGAAAAACGATAGTCACCCGAAATTCCTTCAAGTATACGGAGTATCAGGATCGTCAAATCTTTATGCTACTGTCTTCCACGAAGGTATGGCTCTTGTTTTCTCAGCAACATGCCAATCCGAGACGGCACCAGATTTGATTCCCCTGCAAGAAATCTACTGGATGTGTCGGCGCTCTGCTTTAGCCACTGCGTATCTTGATGCATACTTTGTGTGTCCTGTTCCATTTCAACTGATTAGTACTGGATTTGACGATGATGCAGGGCCTAGAGCTATCTGTGCGTCGACTTTGTAATATTGCTCGATTGAACATAACTCCCACTACAGGATGCCGAGACCTATATTCATTCCATCGCCGGAACGTTTCTCGTAGGCTATCTACGTAGCACCGTCCTCCCTCACCGTGCTCATTTGACCACAGCACCACGGCACGTACACATCCTGGATACGCAGAACCACCGGCCGCCTCTGCGTCGATCTCTCCCCAAGCACCGTCGACCGGCCCATCGTACCTGTCAGCCTCCCCAGCGGCGTCCCGCACATCCCAATACCCCCGCTTCCGCGGGACCAGGACGCCGCCATCATCGAGGCGCTCACTTTGCGACAGCACCAGGAGATCATCGACCACTCTCATAACATCTCGCTGTGGTCGTCCGAGTCGCGGGTCGTCAGCGAGTACATGAAGCTCGGGGCACTGATCTACCAGTACGCAGACTACGCAGACCCCGTAGAGCTCGCGGCGCCTCCAACCGGAGTCCCAACCGGCCAGTTCGAGGACTCCGGTTGGAAATTGAGGATTCGAGGGTCGTTGCAATCTTTGTCAAAGAGGTCGATGCAGATGAGAAATGGGTGGACACGGTGAGCCCCATAGTAGATCCCCCTAAAGTTTTCATTTTATCCGGCCTTTCCTTTCAAGCTTCGACTCTTTCAACGTCGCAACTACCGGAGTGGCGTCGCGTATGATTCACTGGCCGCACGCCGCTAGCCACTGGTTGCCCCAAGCGAATTATATCCTGAGTAGCCTCAACATCGCCTCCAACTACGATCTTTATCGTGCGTACGCTTTACCCAGCGCATGAAGTCGGCTAAAATCAACAGGAATCATCTACGGCACGGACTACTACGTCTCCTTTTCCGGCTCCTCGCGCGCGGGCCCGAAAAATGGGTACCTCTTTCTCTGCCCGCTATCCCAGCTCTGTTCCTCAAATACCCCTGCATACTGGTCGCTCGATCCCACCGGCAACAGGCGGCTGAATCATCACAGGGCAATGCTGCTTGGATTCCCGGCGCTCGAGTTTAAGATGAAGATATGGAGCCGGAGCTGGGACGAGGGTGTTTACGCTGGACTGCGCCAGTTTCATCGCGGCAAGGGG